AAGGTATGTGAGCGCCTTTTGTTCTCTTTTCTGAGAAGCATGTTGAACATAATTATGAAATAAGCAAGTCATACCTGGTGACAAAATGTCCTCTCTTTGTAAGGAGTAACCCCAGTATGGTGAGCACATGACAACCTGATTTATATAGCCATTGCTGTCGTCAGAGTTCATTTGGCTTGAGGAAGATTGTGCATTGATGGCGGCGATCCATGTTTGGTTAGAAGGTGGCAAAAGTCAACTGAGTCTTAATGAATCTCTTCCCTGTTTTTAGGTCTTTTTGACGCAGGAGCTTGTGACCTATGAAATCCTTACTTTTCTGGATTTGTTGAAATACTTTACAGTGTGTAGATTTTAATTAAATTGATACCATACTGATGGGAGCTGACTAACATTACCCAAAGGGAATAGCTATGTTGGGATAAATTGCAAAGAGCTTAAGAAGTTCTGCTAACAGTTGGTGCAAGTGAGAGGAAAGGCTACCTTTGGGGAGTTTCTTCACTTTCCCGGCCTAGAACAAAGAGAACCTGCCCTTTACCCTGAGTGTCTACAGTCTTCTGATTACTCAGGGGCCTTCTACTCCATATCATTGCCGAGAAAATGTGCCCGAATCCTGAGCTGCACGAGTTCCTGCCGGTGGCTGAAGAAGCTGCCGGGTTGTTTGTCCTGCAGATCCAAGGCTGCAGAAGTGACAGCGGGACCCGCAGGAGTGGTCTCATCCGGGGAACGGAGGCTGCCTAGATACTGCAGCTCTTGCCCAGAAGCCAAATGGAAGATAAATCACCGCTGGCCACCTCTTATTATTGAAATGGTTCAGCCCTGGCCTTTAGCTGGAGGACTCACAGGGTTTTGAAGTGCAAATAGGATGGTGAAGGGTAAACTCTTTTAGGATTTCATGTTGATGGATTTTTTTCCCCCTGTGTGGGTTTCTAGCCCTGACTGTGATCTGGAAGCAACCCTCAAAGAAAAAAAAAAAAAGTCTTGTTTTTGATCAGTCAGGCAATAAGAACTTCCCATAGGGAGTGCTTTCCACAACTGCTTATGGATCCCACTCTGAGTAGAAGATAATTTAACTGGATCTTTTGGGTGCCCTTTCAGGGGTGCTATCATTTAAAGGTCACATCTCTCCTGCCACCAATGCCCAAGTTTGAGAGTACCCAAGGATGTACTGTTTAGGAGGATTATGTTGATCCGGTTCATGGTAGACCAAATCTTCAACAAGATGATAGTCATTCTGTAATTATTTAGTCTTTTTCCCACTGAGTTACCAATTTGTACACATTCGTGTATATTTTTGTCAGCCTTAAAAACAAAATATTTTGAGATTACAAAAAAAAAAAGATACTATGGTATTTATAAAGATGCCAAAGCAAGGAAATAAAGGAGACATAGAAATGTTTAAATAAGAGGTGTTGTTTTATAGGACTAATTCTTTTATTTCTCCAAGTAATTGAAACAATAGATAAAACATCTTTTAAATTTCATGGTGATTTTTGCAATATAAAGATGAGAGGAGTCATTACAGACTACAAACTCATCCCAATTTTAACATAACTTAAATAAAAGCTTTCTATGTGGGAAATTTTTCAAAAAATTAAAGTATTTTACTAAACAAATATTATCATTTACTTTGCTCACAGTTCATAGACATACTGTCGACAAGCCTTTCCTTGGACACCCTGAGGTCTTTAGATGTACCATAGATATTTGTAGTACTTGTCTTTTTTTGAGAATAACAATGTATTTCTCTATAACAGAGGCTTACCTCTGTGTCTCTTGGTATTTGTTATGAAAATGAATCGTTAGTCTCCATAATCGACAGTTGATCACAGTTTTTTAGTTGAACCCGCAGGTTCAACTGTTTTGTTCCCTGTTTTGTTCTTCAGAATTCCCCCTCGTGATATATGAATTTTACAAGTGTACTTATTGCCCATTGTATTTGAAATAAGGCCAAACCCCCAAACTCTAGATCAGTGGACTCTCCTGCATACAGCTTTCCTGGCATTGGTTTGTTGCCAGGAGGTGTTCACATGACCTCTGCTTTGTTAGGGGAGAGTCTGCAGCCCTTCCCAGGATGCTCTCCTGGTCACTGTCTTTTTCAACCCAAGTTGGAGGGTGTCTGATTAATGAATGGTGAGCTCTTCTGTTCTGAGCCAGGCATATTGTTGACACTGGGTCACATGTTGCTTTTTAATTTCTGATGTGCTTAATGTGTTTTTAATTTGCAAAGCCTGAGTGTTCCTTTCATAGCAGTAGAATAGAGCCAGAGTTTCTGAGCCTAGATACTGCTTTATGCAAACAAGAAGGGTCAGACTGAATTAAAGCCTTGGGTTTCCTGCAACACACATGTCAATGAATTTCACTTTGAATATTGTTGAATAAAAGAAGACACTTGAGAAAGGCTTTTCTTCCCAAGAACGTCTCTTGCCTCTTGGAGAGTGAATTGCCCCAATATAAAAGCACCGGGGAATAGTGAGTTACAGAGTGAAAAGGCAATCCACAAATGATCACTCTTTTCTGCCTTTGATTGTGTCAGATTTTGTTGTGTGTGTGGTAATTGTTTTCTTTTTCACTTAGAAGAGGTTTATGGTCCGATGTCTGTCAAGTCAGACCCTGTCCTAAGGTTGCGGTTGTATTTCTCTCTGGAGTTCCTGGAGGTGATGTTATCTTTTGTTCACTCAGCAGTGTGGTTGCTCTGGAGAGCATCTGTCACTCTGGGCATTATAAGATGGATGGGTCTCCAGTGAACTGCTGGGTGAAGCAAATGGTGAAAACAAGAAAAGACAAGAGGTTTCAGGGTCTGCAGAGGACAGACAACAAGGAAACACTTAGAAATCAAGAGTACGCGGAGCAATAGAGGAAGAGAGCCAGGATGAATCACTGTCATTTTAGAAACATCTTGGAGCTCAGAATCTTTTGGTGGCTTGTTGTGGTCTGAGGGAGTGATCTACGTCATGGTAACAATTTTGTGCTTCTGATTTCCAAAATGGTGGTGGGGGGTGCGGTAAAGAGTTGTGACATAACAATAATGGTAGAGATGGTTGGGGAAGATTTTGCTTTAAAATATTTTAAAGATTAAGCTAAAAATCAAACTTTTAGCCATTTCAGTTTACTTTCTCATCTTTTCCTTTTCCCTCCTTTCTTTCAAGCAACTGACAAGTAAAAATGAAAACACCTGAAAACTTTTGGCCATGTACTGAATACCCTCACTGTTTTCTAAATGCTGTTTTGCCACCTCTGTGGGGGAGTGCCGAGAGTTCTGGTCTTAGTGAAGGCTGTGGGTGGGTTTTAAGTTATTTTAAATTATCTCCAATTTCATTTAATGGGTTCTGTGATGGAAGAAAATATATAATTTTTATTGATCTGTCAGTTGTTGGAGGTTTGTATTGTACTCATTTTGTTGGTAATGGTCCCACTGTAAATCCTTACTCATGCAAAGTTCTTCCTGTGGGACAAGAGAGAAAAGGAGGTTGTCTAGGGGTAAAAGAGGGGGAAAGAGAGGGCAGTGTAACTAAAAAAACAAAAAAATGATTTTGTCAAACTTTCTGGCATTTGTCTAAGAAAAAGCCCGTCGACTGAAAGGCAAATTCATTGAGATGGTTGGAAGCTTTAAGCCATACAAACGGTGGAGTGTCTCCTTCTCTATGGGTGTAAATAATAGATGAAAGAGTGAGAATGGCAACAAAGGATCAGGTCCTTTAAGAAAATGTGTGCAGCCTGAATAGGGGTCTGTGGCCCAGGGCCAAAGGTCTTAGCTTTGAGTGTAATTAGAAGAAAATACAAAAATGTCATTACTAGCAGGTGAAGTGTGCAGCACGTGGCTAAAAATTAGCAATTTTAGACTCCAAAGCTATTGGAATTGGATTATTGACCTTTTTAAAAATCATTAAGGTACTTGCGGAGTCAGACAGTTCTCACTGGCAGTAATGCAGTTTGACCTCATTGACCATATGGGGCAGCCTCGGGTTTGGGTTAGGTAGGAAGGTTCCCGAACATGAAAGATGCTATTTGTGCATGTGTGAGCGGGAAGTGTGTGAGCTTGAAAATCCAGGGCCTGTGTTTTTCATTATTTTTCTGTGAGAAGGCATTCTTCTGATAATAAGAGGTTAAGAGAAATATTTTTATCCCCAGATCTGAAATGTTTCTTTTCTCTTTTTCAAACTGGCATAAAAAGAAAGTACTAAAAGATTTTCTTTAATATGGCTTCATTTAGTTTAGTTTATAAATATTTATATTGCACTTAGTACATCTTACAAATCTAAGAATCTTTGGTTTTCTTTTTTAGATGCAGTAAAAATCACTTCAGAGTTATGAATAAAAATTAATGACAAGTCGCTTTAATTCCCTTAAGGCTTTACAGCTTTATCTTACACTTCACGCAATAGTTTGTATCAGCCATGATCTAGTTAGCAGAGGGAATAATGGGTATGCCATTCAATCCACTGTAGGTAATTAAAATTAACACCTCCCAGAAATATATTGCTCAGAAAGGTAGGAAATAGCTCTTTCTCTTCTTCCAATATTTCTTCCTGGAAATAATTAAGGAATTTTAAAAAGTAGAAAAATATTGTTTCAGTATTAGCTATATTTGATGTTTTTCTATTTCTTTGAATAAATTAATCTTAGACAAATGTCAAGTATTTTAACCTACCCAAATGCCCCCAAATAAGAAATTTATCTTATACTAATTCCATTTTCAAGACAGGAATATTCTGTGGATTTTTAGTGTTATAACACCAGCCAAAAACCTTCCTCCGCTTGCACTGAGAGAAGGGGTGGGGTCTAAGAAAAATAGGTATCATTTTGAATATATATTTGAGCATGGTTGTTTGAGGAGTATAGGAAGAGGGAACATCTTTATATTTTCCCATTGTAACAAGTACAGAGTTAGGTAGAACTTGGGTAACTTTTGTGATTTTTGTAGAATTTTTAGATATATAGATTGTTTGTTTTATTATAGAATAAAAGGCACTTGGAAATAATGTGTTTTTATGTTTTTATAGGTGCAAAGAAACCTTAAGAAAGTCCTAATCCAGAACAAGCTCCCTGAGATGGTGACTGCCTAACTTTACCATGAACATGATCAAACATGTTAATGTCTGAACCAAGGTATTGCATGATTGTATTCCTCTTCTCAAATTTTTCATGATTGGATTTCTTTTGGGAAGTTAATTTACAGTTTAAATAAAGCAACCACGTTTGATCCTTAACCTAATTAAGCCATGTTTATATCTCCTGCTCCTCTATGCCCCTTCCCCTCCACACATGCCTGCCTGTTCATCTTCCCTGCTCCCCCAGGAAGACTTACTCAGGAATACGCTTTCCGCCCAACTAGGTCTGTATTTCCTGTCTACATAAATTGAAAAACAAAATGAATTCAAGGACTAAAGAGCAGGTTCAGTGGATAGAAGCACTTACTAATTTCTTCCTAGAGGACTGACATTTCTCTAACCCCACGTCGGGCACTCCACCCAAAACTCCAAGAGCTCCAAGGGCCTCCCACGGCCTCGGCGGTACCCACACACACAGACGTGCACACACACACACAGGCGTGGAAACAATCTCTTCATTTTTTTCACATCTTGGTTTGGGTTTTCCTTTCTTTATTATTATCCTTTAAAGATTTCGTCCATATATTCAGTCTGTCCTGAACACTCTCACCCCTCACTCCTCTCCACAAAGGCACTTTTTGGTTTCTCTTTGGTGACTGTGATAGTCTTTCAAATCTTCTCATAAGACAGACTTCTAGACTCTTAGTTGTGCAGGAAAACCCAAATTGTATTTAGCGACCACGTATATGCAAATTTTACTTCATGTAAATTTTACAACATTGTTCTGAGATGGGTGTTACAAAGATTTTCTTTCTTTTTTTTTTTTTTTTTTTTTGTGGATGCTTTTGGCTTTAGTTTTAGAAGGTTTTTAATTCAGGGAGGAAAGGTTGATCCTGGTTAACCCTCTTCCAATGTCAAGGAAGAAAAAAAACTTGTTAAGAATTGAGAATTTAGGGTGACTGCTTTAGGTGACTTGGCTTTTAAAAGGCACATACCCCAAACTCTCTTTTCCCCTTTGGAAGTTGCAATGTGTTTAAATAGCCTGGTGTTTTCAAGGGAGGCCAAAGATCTTTTCCTCTTTTATGACCTGTTGTATCCTTTTGAGGCCAGAGAGAACAAGAGGGTCATTGCCACTTCAGCCTAGTCCCTGTTTATTCCTTAGTGATGGCCACAGAGACAGTGAAACCCAGTATTGGCTTAACATCTGGAAAATGGTCAGAGTGAGGAGGAGGCAGGAGAGAGAGAAAACTGTTGCATTTTGTTTCACCAGGTGCTAGGAGGAAGCAACTTTAGCCTTTTTGATATGGGAGGCAAATTCTGTGGGCCCTGGCGTTAGGCTTCAACAATTGAAGAGGTCAAAGGACAGCTGAGCAGGGTCAGCGAGACACCATGGGGTGTATTTTGTTACTTAGTAAAAGGGGCAGCCTCCTAAAACCGTAAAGGGTTCCCTCGAAAATCTGTGTTGTGAAAAGGTTTTATGAGTCTCATGGCAATAATTCCTGATTTATCTAAGGAACACTAGCTTTTGTCTAATGGAAGGATAATCCTCACCAAATGTTGGCGAGGACTATTAGACTCAGCATAGGTCTGAAAGAAAAGTTAGGATTTGAAGTGTACTTTGCTTTCCAGAACATTTATCATTTTAATGTTTCTGTCGTAACAAAGAATTTTGTGCTGTTGAAATATTGCCTTTTTTTTCTTTTTTCTTTTTCTTTTTTTTTTTTTTTTCTTGGAACAGAAAGCAGTTAGGGGAATGCTGGGGTAGGGAGCTGTCACATTTAATTTCAAAATTATTCGACATGCTTCAGACCTTGCTTGCCCACAGAAAACTATTATCAAACCTTTTCAAACACCAAAACTTGCTAACTCTGGAAGATTATCTTTAAATCTATTTTTAATATATAAAGGACCCGTGACACAGGAAGACTGGCCCACAGTTTTTAGTTATTTTTATTTTCCGTGGCTCTGGGGACTGAACTTGGGTCCTCGCATATACCAGACAAGCACTCAACCAACCACAGAGCTACAGCTCTGGCTTACAGACCTCTCATTTTCACTGTTAATAGTTGACAGAGACTGTAAGCTGATGACTAACCGTAAATCCTCCACTTCTTCCTGAAAAAAAAATCATATATATAACTAGCATCAGGAACAAAACACAAATCAATGTCAGAGTCAAGAATAAAAATGTTGTATTGTGTAGCCCAGTGGTAGAGCTCTTGCCCAGCATATGTGAGGCCTTGGGCTCTATCCCCAACACTGACATAGAACACCAGTAAAATAAGGGATGTTCTCTTTGAAAGGAGCTGGTGAAGCAGGGGTGGGGAACCTGCCCGACGAGAGAGATATGTTTGCCTCAGTAGTGACCTCAACCTTTAAAGAAGTTAGGCTCCTGGTGGGCAGGTGACAGTGTTAGAGGACTTTGTGGCATTTTGATATTCTCTTTTATATACTGTGCATACATACAGATATGTAAAGGAAGCACACGTGTCAATATGTATAATAAAGAAACAGTGCATACGATAGACCTAGTTAAACACTTCTACTACTTTTAAATTAGTGTTGCAATTACTGTTATTTATTAACTACAGGCATGCGACTTTTTTCAATCCTTTTTCAGTAATGACTCTTTTTCAGGGAACACATACAGGAGTGTCTATTTTCTCAAGGTTAAAGCGCCTTTCAACAACTAATTTAGAAACCTGAGTGTGGTGACTGGTAATTGCCTAGAGAAAACGCACAGCTGTTTAAGTAGCATTGAAATTGCGGCATATCTGACAAGTGCAATCAGCAGAGTTAATTAGATAAGGAAAGACTGATGACGAGAGGGGGCGGCCGGGGGGGCGCGGGGGGGGGGGGGCAGGGATGGGCTGGACAGACAGATGGACGCATTGAGGGGCTCCATACACGGACACGAGGTTCGCTTGTTCTCTGTCTGTGAAACTGTGTCCTCCTCTTTTAGTGTTCTCCAAATTACAACACAGTGAGTTGCTTCACAGTTTAACAGTGCAGGTGCGTTGTAAAAAGCCCAAACTCACATCTGGTTGGAAAAAAAGCAGCTGTTTGCCGACAGTACCAAGAAAAATGGTCGCATTTTGCTGACTCTGAAGCACAGTTTGATTTGCTGGCCTCAGATGCCCCTGTGTTTTACTGTTCTTACTTTGAGCTTCGATTGCTTTGGCCCTCTTTGCCGTTTTAATTTTTACCCAATTGTAATTTTTACAAGCATGATATGTGTCTAGATTAAATTACCCACTATCACCTCAAACAAAACAAACCATTGAAGTCTTTAATGTGTCGTTACTTATATGCCTATAGCTCGCTTTCTAAACAATCTTTTTAAAAACAGATGGGGTGGTTAAACAACAGAAATCAAGCAAGAAACATCATCTTTGCCTTTGCAGCTTTACTTTACGTTGCCATTTAGAAAGTTGTTTTAGTAGCATCTTTTACATTACATTTGCGTTTGGGAAATTAGTTTTTCCCTCTGGAGCTCTGTGCACACAGACTTTAATCCCCACAGAAGTGTGCTCTCCGGAATCACTGGGGCTGTGAAATCTGCCCTTGACAGTCCTGATGGATGTGGTGAGCCACACTTTGGAAGCGCTTCTCATTATTTAATGTTTTCTGTTCTGGGTTATTGACGTTTCTTCCTATTGAAAAATTGGCCTCTGGTGACATGGTGGAGGTCACGAGCTGCTCTGTGCTCTGCTGCTCTGGGCTTATGCAGGAATTGTCCCATTTCAGAGTCCTGACAAGATGCGCTTCTTTTACAGAAGAATTTCTGGCATTTCAGGGAAGACAGTGAAGGTTCCCAGTAGGAACACTGTAACCCTTTGTTATAGAGTGGAGTTCTGCTTTTTCTCCTAGGACAGTCTTCCTGATGGTTTGGAGTCGATGGGCACATCACAGTGATTGTCTCCATAATGACTAGGGACAACTGTGTGTCTGCTGAAAATGGTAGAACTAAGAATTTAAAATTAAGTTACTAAGTCTGCTTAAAAAAAAAAAAATTCCAGTACTTTTGACTTTAGAACCTGTCAAAATAGACATTCCCTGATCTAAAGATACAAAGAGACTGAAGCAGTGCCTTTAATCTGATTGCTTTTTAAGGTCTCCAGCAAGGAGGATGGATGAAAATACAATAACATATTTGTTTTGAATGCATGCTTAACTTTGTGCTTTATTGGAATGTGCTTGGAAAAAGATAGTATTGCCTCAAGTCTGCTTAATATATAATTGGATAAGACTCAAAAATTCAATCTCTCTCTGTTTCTCTGTCTCTCCCTGTCTCTGTCTCTCAATTCTGGTTTCATAAGATAACTACCTCGCCCAAAAACTCACAATCAAATAATGGAGTTAAAAAATACAAATAATTTAAGGGTAATAAATGTCTATTTAAAAGAATAAACAGCAGGAATCTAACAAGACCAACAGAGACAACAAACCCAGTCCCATGGGGACTTACAGAGACTGAGACATTCACTAAGGAGCATGCATGGTCTGGACCTAGGAGCCCTGCACATATGTGGCCAATGGGCGGCTTGCTCTTCATGTAGGTCGCCTGTCGAGTTGCGGGGAGGGGGGGCTATTTCTAACATGGACTCTATTGCCTGCTTTTGTATCACTTCTCCCTGGCAGGGATGCCTTGCCTGGCCTCAGGGGATGAGGATATGCTCAGACTTCATGTGACTTGATGTACTGGGGAGGGTTGATACAGGGATGGTGGGGGAACCTCCCCTTTTCTGGGTGGAAAGGATAGGGGAAGGGAGAAGGAGGGGGAGGGGGAACTGGAAGGGGAGGAGAGAGGAGGCGCCCTTGGGATGTAAATAAACTGAAATTAAAGAAATTTAGATGTAAAACAAAGAAAGAGAGACATTATCTCAGAAATAAGAATTTACTTCAAAAAAAAAAAAAAAGAATGAACAGAGCTGAGCTTTAGCTCAGTAGTAGAGCACATACTTAGCATATGCGAGGACTGGATTCAAACACCCCCCACCAGCAGTAAATCTGTAAATAATAAAGCTCTAAGAGAGCCAACAGAGAGAGGAGTGTGAG